GGACATGTACCACCTGCTACTGTTACAACGGTACAGTACCACGTGATACAAGGACCTGTACCACCTGCTACTGCTACAAAAGGTACAGTACACACGTGATACAAGGACATGTACCACCTGCTACTGCTACAACGGTACAGTACCACGTGATACAAGGACCTGTACCACCTGCTACTGCTACAACGGTACAGTACCACGTGATACAAGGACATGTACCACTGCTACTGCTACAACGGTACAGTACCACGTGATACAAGGACCTGTACCACCTGCTACTGCTACAACGGTACAGTACCACGTGATACAAGGACCTGTACCACCTGCTACTGCTACAACGTGTACAGTACCACGTGATACAAGGACCTGTACCACCTGCTACTGCTACAACGGTACAGTACCACGTGATACAAGGACCTGTACCACCTGCTACAGTGGTACAGTACCACGTGATACAAGGACATGTACCACCTGCTACTGCTACAACGGTACAGTACCACGTGATACAAGGACCTGTACCACCTGCTACTGCTACAACGGTACAGTACCACGTGATACAAGGACCTGTACCACTGCTACTGCTACAACGTACAGTACCCACGTGATACAAGGACCTGTACCACCTGCTACTGCTACAACGGTACAGTACCACGTGATACAAGGACCTGTACCACCTGCTACTGCTACAACGGTACAGTACCACGTGATACAAGGACCTGTACCACCTGCTACTGCTACAACGGTACAGTACCACGTGATACAAGGACCTGTACCTACTGCTACAACGGTACAGTACCACGTGATACAAGGACCTGTACCACCTGCTACTGCTACAATGGTACAGTACCACATGATACAAGGACCTGTACCACCTGCTGTTACAATGGTACAGTACCACGTGATACAAGGACCTGTACCACCTGCTGTTACAATGGTACAGTGCCACATGATACAAGGACCTGTACCACCTGCTGTTACAATGGTACAGTACCACGTGATACAAGGACCTGTACCACCTGCTACTGCTACAACGGTACAGTACCACGTGATACAAGGACCTGTACCACCTGCTACTGCTACAACGGTACAGTACCACGTGATACAAGGACCTGTACCACCTGCTACTGCTACAACGGTACAGTACCACTGATACAAGGACCTGTACCACCTGACTGCTTTCAAGGAACAGTACCCCGTGATACAAGGACCTTACCCCCTGCACTGACAAGGTACAGTACCACTGATACAAGGACCTGTACCACCTGCTGTACAAGGTACAGTACCACTGATACAAGGACCTGTACCACCTGCATGTACAATGGTACAGTACCACTGATACAAGGACTGTACCACCTGCTGTACAATGGTACAGACCACGGATACAAGGACCTGTACCACCTGCTACTGCTACAACGGTACAGTACCACGTGATACAAGGACCTGTACCCCCCTGCTACTGGACAAAAGGTACAGTACCCCAATTTATACAAGAAAGTGACCACCTGTAATAAAAGGGGGAAGTACCCTTTATACAAGACCTGTACCACCCCGTTTCTGGACAGGGTAAGTACCACTGATACAAGGACCTGTACCACTGCTACGGAAAGGGGTAAGTCCCCCTTTATACAAGGACTGTACCACCTGCTCCCAGGACAAGGGTAAGTACCACTTGAACAAGGACCTGTTTCCACCTGGTACTGACAAGGTAAGTACCACTTTATACAAGGACCTGTACCACCCGGTTTACAATGGGTATAGTCCAAAATTTATACAAGGACCTGTACCACCCTGTTACAAATGGTAAGTCCACTTTTATACAAGGACTGTACCACCTGTGTATAAATGGGAAGTACCACTGATACAAGGACCTGTACCACTGTCCCGGACAAGAAATACCACTTGATACAAGGACCTGTACCACCTTTCTGGACAAGGGGGTTTTAAATACCACTTGATACAAGGACCTGTACCACCTGGTACTAGGACAGGTGGTATAGTACCACTTGATACAAGGACCTGTACCACCTGGTCCTAGGACAGGTGGTATAGTACCACTTGATACAAGGACCTGTACCACCTGGTCCTAGGACAGGTGGTATAGTACCACTTGATACAAGGACCTGTACCACCTGGTACTAGGACAGGTGGTATAGTACCACTTGATACAAGGACCTGTACCACCTGGTCCTAGGACAGGTGGTATAGTACCACTTGATACAAGTATCTGCATCACCTGCTACTGGAACAATAGTACAGTACCACTTGATACAAAAACCTGTACCACTTGCTACTAGGACAGATGGTACCACTAGAAACAAGGACCTGTACCACCTACTACTGCAACAGATGGTACAGTACCAATTAATTAAAGCACAGTATTTAAAGAAGGTACGCCTGGCACCGCAGCATAGCTCTGGTTATCGTACAGGGAACAAAACAGCTGCACGAACATACAATATAAATCTTGACAATTAACAAAAATAATTAAAAGCTACAGAAAAAATACAGTGGAAAAACCACTCAATAATAAAGTATGTAGAGATTATATTAGTAGAGCGCATAGTCTGTAATAATGTACAAAGTTTTTACTGTTAGTAAAATGTCTAACTTGTCATCATAGTGCATAGTTCTTGATCCACACAGCCAGACTCCAGTTGATCCACACAGCCAGACCCAGTTGGATCCACACAGAGCCGTTCCAACTCCAGTTGATCCCACAGCCAGCTCCAGTTGAATCCACACAGCTGAGACTCCAGATTGATCCGACACACCATCGACTCAGTTGAGTCCAAAAGCAACCCATTATCCACCCTCTCCTTACGCACCACTCTTGTCATTGGACCGATGAAGCCACTGTTGTGGGGAAAGGTTTCCTTGAAAAAAGCAGTCCAGTTGATCACAAAGCCAACTCCAATATACAATCTTGATCCAATTGAACACAAAATAATTAAAAGCTACAGAACAAATACAGTGGAAAACCACTCAATAATATAGATGTAGCAGACTATATTAGTAGAGCGCAAGTCTGTAATAATGTACAAGTTTACCACCCATCCGTTAGTAAATGTCTAACTTGTCATCATAGTACATAGTTCTTTATCCACACAGCCAGACTCCAGTTGATCCACACAGCCAGACTCCAGTTGATCCACACAGCCAGACTCCAGTTCATCCACACAGCCAGACTCCAAGTGATCCACACAGCCAGACTCCAGTTGATCCACACAGCCAGACTCCAGTTGATCCACACAGCCAGACTCAGTTGATCCACACAGCCAGACTCCAGTTGATCCACACAGCCAGACTCCAGTTGATCCACACAGCCAGACTCCAGTTGATCCACACAGCCAGACTCCAGTTGATCCACACAGCCAGACTCCAGTTGATCCACACAGCCAGACTCCAGTTGATCCACACAGCCAGACTCCAGTTGATCCACACAGCCAGACTCCAGTTGATCCACACAGCCAGACTCCAGTTGATCCACACAGCCAGACCCCATTGACCACACAGCCAACTCCAGTTGATCCACACAGCCAGACTCCAGTTGATCCACACAGCCAGACTCCAGTTGATCCACACAGCCAGACTCCAGTTGATCCACACAGCCAGACTCCAGTTGATCCACACAGCCAGACTCCAGTTGATCCACACAAGCCAGACTCCAGTTGATCCACACAGCCAGACTCCAGTTGATCCACACAGCCAGACTCCAGTTGATCCACACAGCCAGACTCCAGTTGATCCACACAGCCAGACTCCAGTTGATCCACACAGCCAGTACTCCAGTTGATCCACACAGCCAGACTCCAGTTGATCCACACAGCCAGACTCCAGTTGATCCACACAGCCAGACTCCAGTTGATCCACACAGCCAGACTCCAGTTGATCCACACAGCCAGACTCCAGTTGATCCACACAGCCAGACTCCAGTTGATCCACACAGCCAGACTCCAGTTGATCCACACAGCCAGACTCCAGTTTGATCCACACAGCCAGACTCCAGTTGATCCACACAGCCAGACTCCAGTTGATCCACACAGCCAGACTCCAGTTGATCCACACAGCCAGACTCCAGTTGATCCACACAGCCAGACTCCAGTTGATCCACACAGCCAGACTCCAGTTGATTCACACAGCCAGACTCCAGTTGATCCACACAGCCAGACTCCAGTTGATCCACACAGCCAGACTCCAGTTGATCCACACAGCCAGACTCCAGTTGATCCACACAGCCAGACTCCAGTTGATCCACACAGCCAGACTCCAGTTGATCCACACAGCCAGTCTCCAGTCTAGCTGTCTGGATAAAGTACTGTGAACTCTGATGCCGAATTTGCAGGATTGAATCCTACTGTGGACTGTTTATGTGTTGAAGAGGGAGGAGTAAGGCGTGATATCAATAAATTCCAGAAGGTAGAGAGATCTGTAGAAGAATAGGGTGGAGAGGAGGGTGGACATCAAGGCATGAAGACGTCAAGATGTGAAGGAAAAGGGCAATGGGAGAAAGGAAGGAAGGAGGTATCTCAGGACAAAAAAGTGGAGGGAAGGGGAGGTATGTCAAAAAAATGGAAGACTGGGAGACCTCAAAGGAAGAGATGAAGGGATTATATCAAGGTTATCAAGGGTAAGAGAGGAGCATATCAATGGAGGGATGAAAAGAGCAGCTAGGGACTTGGAAGGATGCGGATAAGGGCATTCAGGAATGAACTGAAGGGAAAAGGAGAGGAGAAAGACTAGAGAGGGAGGGTATTAAGAAAGACTAGAGAGAGGGAGGGTATTAAGAAAGACTAGAGAGAGGGAGGGTATTAAGAAAGACTAGAGAGAGGGAGGGTATCAATAAAGACTAGAGAGAGGGAAGGTATCAAGAAAAGAACCAGGGAGATGAGAGCATGAAGGAATGAAACGGGGGGAGGAAGAGGCGATGATGAAACGAGGAGAGAGAGAGAGGAGACGTCAGGTAGATCGACGGGGGGGAGGGGGGGAGGTAGTACAATACTCACCACAGCCACAGCCTCTGAGCCCAGCACCTCAGCAGGGGAGAGGGTAGTGTAGAAGGCCACGTTGGTCAGCACGTAGACAGCAGTCACCAGGGAGATGGAGATGTAGATAGCCTTGGGAAGGTTCCTGCCAAACACAAATTAACATTACACATTTACAAATTATTACTTGGGCTTACAGATACCATGGGACCTCTTACCATTACTACCACAGTATTACTATTACCATACTATCTACCAACCACAAATTCCTTTATCATTACTACTATTACATTAAGTATATTATTTAATTTCAATGTGAAAACAAAGAGGTGAAGGTACTCTCACTGCTGCTGCTGCTGCTGCTTTGACTATTATTACTGTAGGCAAAATGAACTCAGTAGCCCTATGAACGCCTTTCGTGGAGAGAGAGAGAGAGAGAGAGAGAGAGAGAGAGAGAGAGAGAGAGAGAGAGAGAGAGAGAGAGAGAGAGAGAGAGAGAGAGAGAGAGAGAGAACTAGAACGTCCTTTACACAAGTCTTACTTTCTGAATTTTACTGCGCCATCGTCAAAGACTGATATTGAATCACAGAAGAAACATTAAATAAAGTGTATATTGAAGTTTCTAAAACAGAAAATTGAACAAAAGTTGTATATTACACATGAAAAGTGTGGCAACTCGTGTTTACAGTAAACACAGAGAATAATGTCAAACACTGATAACAGACCCTCCAAACATTGATAACAGACCCTCCAAACATTGATAACAGACCCTCCAAACACTGAAACAGACCCTCCAAACACTGATAACAGACCCTCCAAACACTGATAACAGACCCTCCAAACACTGATAACAGACCCTCCAAACACTGATAACAGACCCTCCAAACACTGATAACAGACCCTCCAAACACTGATAACAGACCCTCCAAACACTGATAACAGACCCTCCAAACACTGATAACAGACCCTCCAAACACTGATAACAGACCCTCCAAACACTGATAACAGACCCTCCAAACACTGATAACAGACCCTCCAAACACTGATAACAGACCCTCCAAACACTGATAACAGACCCTCCAAACACTGATAACAGACCCTCCAAACACTGATAACAGACCCTCCAAACACTGATAACAGACCCTCCAAACACTGATAACAGACCCTCCAAACACTGATAACAGACCCTCCAAACACTGATAAAAGACCCTCCAAACTGATAACAGACCCTCCAAACACTGATAAAAGACCCTCCAAACTGATAACAGACCCTCCAAACACTGATAAAAGACCCTCCAAACACTGATAACAGGGATAACCCAAAACTTTATTGATTACAGAATAACCCACAAACATTAATGAAAGGAAGAATAACTACAATAAGAGGGAGAATAGCTACAAACATTAACGAAAGGGAGACTAAGTGTAAAGCTTGAGAGAACACACTGAGGGTACTCACTTGACTGGCTCCTTCAACTCCTCTATCACAAAGTTGAGGTAGTTCCTGGAAAAAAAAATATTAATGTTCAACGAGTGACTTAAGTGTTCAACGTTACGCATCAACGAATAAACGACACACCAGTGTCTTACCTCTGACACGTCTCCAGAGTTGTTCCATTCTAGCACCCTGCAGGGTACGACATGAGAGGGGGGGAGGGGTTGTGGTACAAGGAATCTGAGCGATCTGCCCATTTCTTGGACTGAACCTATTTATTACCTCCTTTTTTTATACACAGGGGAAGTGCTAAACCCCTTAGGGGGGTTCACCGGCACACGAGGACTGGCAAGCAATTGAGTAATATGCAAACAGTAGAGCACTGTTTTGGTTCTCTATGACGCAGTGTCTGCGTATCTTGCGTCAACTTCCGTTAGCATCGTGCGTTTGGAAGTGTCCGCCAGTTTTGTAATTCAACGTTACTACCTTACATTGCGTCGGTAAAGAAATGTGTTGGTAGTACGACTTTAATAATACCGAAGGTCGCCCACACTACCTAGTGACGTCACGTGTTTAGCTCCGCCCACACTAGTCCGCGATGACGTCACGCGTTTAGTTCCTCACACAGCGTGACGCAACTCCCTGCACTCGTGATGTCACAAGTCTCATTCACAATACATCACAAGTCATTCGTCCCATCCTAATATTACCCAATAAATGTTAACTGTATCACCAAATATTGATAACAATGTAGCTAAATCAAATTAATACATTATGAAGCCTCAGAATATACATTATGAAGTATCAAAATACATCGTCTCAAAATACATCGTGAAGTCTCAAAATATACATTATGAAGCCTTAAAATACACCAAAAATACTTAAAATACACCAAGAAGCCTCAAGATACACCACGAAGCCTCAAAATACTAATTAATCATATATTTGAAGATGCTGAAGAATAGTCTCAGTTCCGTGGGTGAACATATTTACAAACAAGTTTCACTTCGGAGGGGGGAACTTCAGGTGACGTTTCGATCCGTACTGAACCATTATCAAATTACAACTTGATAAATCAAGTGTGCGCTTCGCTTGTGTACTGTAACGACGCCCCATTCAACCTGATCAAGGACTAGGCCGCGGGAGCGTTGACCCCCGGAACAACCTGCAGGCAGAACACGCCCTCCAGGTACAGGTAAGTGAAACGACAGCAATGTCAGACACTGGCAGCTGAATAAGCTAAACAAGAACACTTAGTGGAAAACGTTACAACGGCTGCAACCATTCAAAACGCACAAATAATAACAATGATAATAATAATCTTTATTTCTACAATTACATGTACAAGGTGATACAAGGCTTAGTTAACATCAATGACATACTACTATACAGAAAGCCCCTTGTTATGCAGAGCATTTCGGGCAAATTAGGTCAATTTTATCCCAAGTTTGCCACCCACGCCAGTCGACTAACACTCGGCTACCTATTTTACTGCTAGGTGAACATGGGCACCAGGTGTCTTGTGGAAAAACGTCCTAATGTTTAGACCCGTACGGGGGATCGACCCCCGGACCTCAGTGTGTGAGCTGAGTGCACTAGCACTCGAGCTATGGGACACTATAAATATTTAGACGACGTTTTGGTCCGTCCTCGAAGGACCTGATAGTGATTCAGAAGAGTGAAACGTCTCAATGTCTATCTTCAATTTGTATTCTAGTTGTAAAGGCTAGCAGGGCGATCACTGGCTCAGTCAACACTGACCTCCACTAACTTAAACCACAACCTGCAGACGGTAATTATTCTGAGCTTGCTAGGTTAACTTAAGATTAAGAAAGGTATATGTACGTAATTTAAAGTTACGGAAGGTAATAAACGTACGTAATTTAAAGTTAATGAACGTAAACATACGTAATTTAAAGTTAAGAAGGGTAAAACGTACGCAATTTAAAATAAAGAAAGGTAAACGAACGTAATTTAATCACAAATTAAATACTCTAATAAAGACGGAAAGGAGAGTAAGAGTTTCTGGGTAACCAGACTACACTGACTGTACTACATTAATGCAGTGATTCCCACACGTTGTTGTCTTCAGGACCTCACCTTCAGAACACAATAAACATGGGTTATCATGTTACCTTGGGCAGAGTAAAACAAGGAGGGAGAAAATGACCGACACATTGGTGAAAATTCTCAGGAAAACTTTTCAAGTAACACACAAGCACACTACAAGTTTAAGTTGGATGGCTTGTCCTCGCTGAAGGACCACTCAAAGCCCCTCCACAATTTCTCAATGGAGGTTAAGGAAGTAGGGGACTCGGGAGGGAATGTCTGCTATTTTTCATTGATTTAAAATTGGGGAAAAATGACACGGAAAGGAGGAAAAAGACAAGTAGCGATATGAGAAGGAATGAAGGACGGGAATAGAGGAGGAGTGTGCACTCCAGAAGAGTGAAGTACATCAAAATGGTATACAATACCGACAGGTTGTTAGGTAAGACACATATGCAACAGTTAGACAACTTTATTCCGAAACGTTTCGCCTACACAGTAGGCTTCTTCAGTCGAATACAGAAAGTAGGCAGGAACAGTAGAGATGTGAAGACGATGTAATCAGTCCATCACCCTTGTAGTCGTAGAATTTGAGGTTGTCAGTCCCTCGGCCTGGAGAAGTTCAGTTCCATAGTCAGGAACTATCTGAAGATCAAGCGACAGTGCGGAGACTTAAATACTGTGGGAAGGAGAGGTGCAGAGTAGAAAGTAGTAGTAGTAGTAGTATTTTTAGTAGTAGTAGTAAGTAGTATAGTAGTAGTAGAAGTAATGAGAATGTAGCCACTGAGAGGTCATGTCCCTCTCAGATCCAACACTTCTCACTTGAAAAGCTTGTCCAAGGTGTTTTCTGTACCAAGATGCCATGTGTTGCAGTGTCTGACAAGATGAACATCAAAATGGTATACAATACCGACAGGTTGTTAGGTAAGACACATATGCAACAGTTAGACAACTTTATTCCGAAACGTTTCGCCTACACAGTAGGCTTCTTCAGTCGAATACAGAAAGTAGACTCTTCGTCGTCTTCTGTACAGGGAGCATCTTTTTCTCTCCAGTTTACTCCTGCTCTTCTTCTTTCTTAGGGGAATATGCCTAGAACATGCTTCGGCTACCAGGAAGTTGATCCTTTCAAGGCACTGGTTTGGATCCATGTCATTTAAGACATCTTCCCAACATGTTTCGTTTAGGACATGGTTTACCTGTCCCAATTGATGTTCTTGTTGTTGAAATTGTATTTTGTGAAGACACCTTCACAGGTACATGCATCTGCTGTTCAGGACCCCTATGCATGTACGTCTGGACTTCGATTAGATTGTGATCGGAATTAGTTGTTTTTGATATTCTTATGTCTCTTATCAGGTCCTCATTATTTGTGAAGTGTGTTTTCTAGCCTTGTTGGCCCCACTATCTGCTGGCTTAAGGTGTGTTTTTCGCAGAGATTTTGTAGCTCATGTTGTGTGACCTTTCATCTGCGCTACCTCCGGGGATTGTTTCAGCATAACATTATTTGCTACATTCTTCCTTTTTGTATGCCTTGGGTTTAATCACCAAGCAGTAAGATGTTTGGGGATGGAGCTGGAAGGTTTTCCAAACAGTAATCATTTTCAGTAGCTGTTCCTTGAACTTTTTGTGAGGTTCATCTGTGGCTTGTATACAACCACAATAACTAGGTTTTGGTTCTCGATTTTTATTGATAGAACTTCAACTACCTCATTTTGTGGTTTTCAGAAACTCCGTGCAGTAAGGGACTCTTTGACATACAGGCCAACCCCCCCTTGTTGCCTGTTTTTTCTGTCGCATCTAAAAAGGTTGTAACCACTTATCCATATTTCACTGCCCAAAGTGATCTTTTGTGTGATTTCTCTGTGAAGGCTGCAAAACATTGCATTAGACCCCACTAGAATCCACTGAAAAAAAGGTATTTTGTTTGTGGTGGATGGCTTAAGGCCCTGAAATATTAGCAAATATGAACGAGGTTGTATTCTGGTTTTGTTGGGGGGGATTTTTTTATTGGCATAAAGTAGTTGTAATTCTGGAGGGCCATGGGTGGCCACGGGCTGTCCCTCCAGTCCAACAAGGCTCCAAGGTGGTGGACTATTTTTGTTATTTTTTTCCATTTTTTTTTCATTTCCTGCCACTAAAAAATCACCTGGAGTTGGGTTGTCGTAGCTACTATTGTTTTGTCTTGTGGGTCTGTGCCTCCTGGTCCCTTTAGATGGTATGCAGGGCACTCGATGTTGTAAACTGCTTCTGGAGGACCGAGGAGTGGCACATTTTTGGGTGAAAGAAAGTACAGGAAAAAGAACGACACACTCCTTTAGACGGAGGTCGCTACATTTTTGGGATGGTCCAAAATTGCATGTCCCATTTTTTTCCCCGTTATTCCATGCTTACAGATGCCCCAAGCATAATATTTGCACAAATTCACCTTTGGTTGAGAATTGTTTGGGAGGTGTGTTGTCAATTTCTGCAGGTTCTGGGACTGCACTATAATCCTCAGTATCCAAGCCAGGGCCAAACCCCCTCCTGGATTCCATCTACTTCCCCATAGAGGAAGGAAAGGGGGAGACTCCTCCCAACATCTGTACTGTGGGCCACGGTTTTTTTGCAAAGATGGTTGTATATTTACTGTTTTTGGGTGGTTTGGGTAGTGTCCCTAGGAGAGTCTGGGCTGGCAGTAAGGCTGGGGCTGGGTCTGGGTCAGCACTGGGCTGGGGGTGGGGCTGGGTCTTTGGGGCGCAGCGGCTGGCCTGGGCCAGCACCAGCACTGTGGGTATTAGTGCAGACTGGGGGGCCTGGGCCGCCCCGCCTGTGGGGATTGGTGCTATGCCTGGGGGGCCGGGGCCCCACCACACTGTGGGTATTAGTGCTATGACTGGGGATGGGTCTGGCTTAGCACCATGTGGGGGACTAGAATTTCGAGTATCTGTTTGGTATGGACATTTTGATTTTTTGATCACTATCCTTCTCCCATGTTTTATATATTTTTGGTAGCTATCCAAGAGGCATCTTGTTTTCTT